TATGCCAATGCATGACAGTGACGACTCAGGACAACAAGTTCAAAGAACAAGGAACCAGTGAAGGAGTGAGCAAAAACCTGGTTCATTTTGAAGCGAACGAGACAAGGAAGACACGCTGATGGGAATACAGAACACATAAAGAGCTTACCACAATAAATAGGCAGCAGCAGACCAACCCTAGAAAACACAAGAGAACTGAAAAGGTAACTAAAACAAATCAAACGCCAAGAAAAAGGAAACAAAAATAAAATAACAAAAGGAAAGAAGGAATTCGAGGGTAGCAATTAAATTGTGACAAGATCCTTAAGATTCTCAAGGGATCGCATGTACGGGTGGAAATCGGTACAATATCGGTATCCCAATACCAAATACCGAAATCCCGAATACCAAATTACACTCTAAAGTCAATCCCAATCCCTAAATAATTTCTGTATCCCAATCCCTAAATATTTTGGTATCCCAATCGGTACTTCGGTATCCCAATCGGTATTATCGAATACGAAATTAATTACCTTTACAATTAATAATTAAATATATAAATTAGATTTTATTGTTTAATTTAGGGGGAAAGGAGCACATAAGCAGAAATTAAATTGAATGTCAGGTCTGCTAGCAGTTAAGTACGACAAGGACCCTATCATACCCCTACATTTCTTATCATTGGCACCGGTACCTTGTTCATCTTTGTCCAATTTTAAGTTAAAAGCCATCGAAGTAGGACTCGTATTCACATTATCCATAGCAAACTTCTGTAGCATGATATGAATATATTTAGATTGACTAATGAAAATGCCATGCTCATATTGTTTGAATTGAAGCCCTAGGAAAAACTGCAATTCACCCATCACACTCATTTCAAAGACGGATTTCATAAAATTACAGAATTCAGCACACATATTAGGATCAGTAGAACCAAAAACAATGTCATCTACATAAATTTGCACAATGAGCATAATCGATGACACTCTTTCAATGAACAAAGTTTTGTCTACTGAACCTTGAGTGAAATTCTGTTGTTTAAGAAAGCTGGTCAGGCTATCATACCAAGCCCTAGGGGCTTGTTTAAGACCATAAAGGGCCTTGTTTAATGTGAAAACATGATCAGGAAATTGATGATCGACAAATCCTGGAGGCTGAGCAACATATACTTCCTCTTGGATTACGCCGTTCAGGAAAGCACTCTTGACGTTCATCTGATATAGAGGAAACTGCATATGGCTAACAAAAGCACACAGAAGGCGAATAGACTCGATGCGTGCTACAGGAGCTGTTATTTGGCCCACTAATCGTGCACCCATCGCCAATGCAGTCAAATTCGGGATTTTGATCGTAAAATCGTAGGATTTTAGGATTTTACTTAGGGATTCCGATCTTGATTTTACTATAAAATCGGTGGACCTTAAAATCGTTTAAAATCGGGACTAAAATCGATAAAATCGTAAAATAGTACCGAAATCGGGATTTTGATGGTAAGAGAACAAAATAGGTGGTTTGAGCCAATTTAAAATAAGTATAACTGTTTCAGCGGAAGGGGCAATGGAATCTTCTCAGATATTTTTGTATTAGAAAAATATTCAAAAATAATAAAAATAATTTAGGGTTCGGTTAATCTCTTTCCCTTCACCCCATTTAACTTATTGGTAAAACACATGTCCTAATATTGGAAGTATGTAAGAACTAACATCATTATTAACTAATTAATTTATTAATGAATATATTTGTACCAAGGCACTAACATTACTTATTTTATTGGAGTTCAATTATTTTTAGTTTTAAATCATACTTAGTAGACGATGTCGAAATATTACTTTGAGTTAAACAACCTAGACATAACATGAAAATAAGAGCCAAACCCATGAACTATATCCCTTCATCATGAATTATTTTGAGTTACACATTAAATAACAATTAAAATAGTGATTTTGGAACATTAATCTTGAGAATTATCTTATGGAAAAAAAATCTTCTGAATTATCATTTTAAATGCTATGTATCTTTGTGATATTAATAATTTACCTTATTAATATTCTTATATGCTATGTTCTATATGGTACTTAAAATCCTACGATTTTACGATTCGATTATACGATTTTGATTTTACCCCAGTTTTCGATTTTAGGTAAAATCTCGATTTTAACTGCTTTGCCCATCGCAGCCTCTCCAAATCTTCCTATTCTACTCGCCGGGTCATCTCCTCCACTACAAAATATCTCCTCATGTACTCAAAGTTCTCACTGAAACCTAATATCTACAACTTAGGCGCAGAGGGAGCAACCGATGGATTGTAGCGACCCCCACTATTTTGATAGCTAATCAAGAAGAGCGCGTTTGTTTAGTTGTATGGTGATTCACTTAATTAACAATTTTTATTCCGTTGACAGCCTCCTCTCCGCAATTGTATTGTGTTCACGAAGATCTGAAGGCGCAAGTGCAACAGGTCCAGGGGTAAACAATATGTATAAAGCGTTGGCCAAATTGAATTGAGTCATTCTACTTGGAATATGAATATTTTTGCTTAATTGCTTTGGTTCGTGATGCAACTATGTTATGTTTGAAGGTAGACCAACGCAAAACAACAGCACAGCTCCAGGGCAATTCTGCACATTAGGTAGTTGGGGCATTAATTGATAATTATTTGGGATTATTCCTACAAGTACATAATTTGGAACGTGCCATTATATTGCATTGATTAATAGTTGTTTGAGATTTTTCAAATGAGTGATTTGACATGTTAAACTCTCTTATTTTTGAAAATGGAGTCTTCGAAGTGGAATATGAAGATTTTGGATTAAGCTTGGTTTCGTAACGCCCTTATGGGTGTTTATTCTCTAAAATGCAGCTGTCTTTCAAAGTGCCCGTTGCAAATGGCAAGTCAGGATACAACGATGGTACTGGTACACGTTTATATCATTAGTAGGTAGCAGATTGTGTCCATTCTACTATATCATTTAGCTAAATACTTAGTTGTTCTTTTCAACTAAAAATTATGCTTAAATGCTGTGATTGGCCTCAGAAATGTATGTCTTTGCATTAACTGTTAATGATTGTGAGTTTTGGTTTAATGGTGAAAAGTCCATTTATTTAGAAGTCTAAATCGGCAAACCTATTGGACAATAGGAATGCCATACATTAGTGTCGTGGGAGGTTTGTTTGATGTCTCAGGGTGTTAGATTTTTAAGAAGGTTGTTCGTTGTGGCAGAGAGTCCCTAAAGCTAGCAAGGTATTCCTATGTGGGCTTTTTCTTTGTTTGACTTTTTCTCGCCTTTTGTCTTATCTCTTTTTCTATTTTTGGTTTTTGTGTGCTACCTTCAGTTGCTACGTCTTCATTTGTGAGCCATCTATACTTTTCTTATTCAGTGCCTAAAAATCATATATACTCGATTGCATAGTAGTTACTAATAGATACATTTATACCAATAGAGAGATTTTAAGTTTTATCAGTTGTTAGTTTTAATATTTACTTACATTGGTTGTTTATGTAGTTTTCTTTGTAATATTTCTCATTATACAACTAATTACTATGGCTACGTAGTTGTATAAGTGGGGGTTGGACATGATAGTTCTTAGAAGCATCAATACTTGAAGGTTATTATAATGACCAAATTCTAAAGTTATGGTTTGCCTTCAACTTGCTTGGAGCATTTCAATTATGCATCAATTGTTCTCTCCGTGTAGCTAAATCTCAGACAAATCGAAAATCTTGCTGATATGTGCTTGATTGTAGTTAAATTTAGGGTTCTACTGCATTGTTGCTTTACTCTTTTTTCGTGGTTGAGTCTGCTTCAAAAAATTTAGTTTGATTTTAGAAAATTTTGCTTCTGCAGTCCTGTCTTGCCACCAGCGCGTTCAATAGATGGAGACGGGAGAGGCGAAGGCTATTTTTGTGTTGTTGTTGCTGGTTTAGGGATCGGTTTGTGAAGAAGAGGGAGAAGAGAGGGGGAAAGGGAAATGCATGAGAGGGGGATAACTCTTTTCTCCGACAAAAATGGAGTGAAGAAAGGAATTATGATCAGTAAGAATATGGTTATCTTACATAACGGTCTCTATTATGTTTGAATTGAGCTTGAGAGGCAGTGATAAGGACGAGCTACAACTAATTCATAGTGAGAAGAGAGCTATGAATTGTGATCATGTCTTATTTCAAGTTAGAAGGTAGTTTCAGTATAAGGATTATTTAATTTGACAAGTTGTTTCGTCCATGATTCTTGGTAGTTTCAGTGCCATTCTAGCCAATGTTTAGTCTGTAATTTTTGAGAATTGATGTGCGAGTAATGACTTTCACTTAGCTTCAACTATTATGTGTGTATTTATTGGCATGTGATAGAATTCTCTTTTCCTTTTCATTGAATTCATTTTCATACTCTAATTGTATTATTTGTACATAGGCAAATCATGCTCGAGATGGCAACTCGCTGATATGGCTGGTGCAAGGAATGAAGCCATCATTAGAATTCAGACCGACAACGGGGAGGGATGCCCAGGACTAATTCAATGATGATTGATGATGGTATAATAAAAACTGCAGTCTGCATCAGCACCAATTTCTAGGCCTAAGTAAAGGTATTCAACCCAGAACTCTGCTTAGCGCTAAAAATCGCCCTCACCCAACCTTGATCCTGTTTGACCCACTTCTGAAGAGTCAAGATATATGACTAATCCTCCCCGTTCGTATTTTCTTATTGACTCTTTCTGACCCTGTAGGTTGGGGCGGGTCGGGAAGAATTGGATTAGTGGGTCGGTCCTAATCAAGTGGAATCCCAATCCCTTCACTCTCACTTGCTTTCTCTCCCATTCCACAAGTGGGTAACATACAGTAATCCGGCCAACGGGCCGGGTAATAAGCTAGTATATATATAGGGCGGACCTGGGGCCGAGCGGCCCTCAACGTCCCAATTATTCCCAAACCCTCAGCGCCCCAATTATTCCCCCAAACACCCGCCCCATTTTTGTTCGTCCCAGCAAGCAGCCGCGAGAAACCCAAACCCGCCCGTAACAGTTGACCCCCGCCGTTGTCCCTGCTTCTAAACGCGGGCGCGGCGAGAGGAAAAGAAGAAGGAGTTGCACCTGATCCCGATCCAAATCCCATCCCTTTCGTGTTTCTAGGTAAGGATCACGAACCCCTTCGCGATCTCTAAACTCGATTTACCGATAGTCTAATCCGAAGCTCGTATTTTATTAGCGGTGACGTTTGAGGGTTCGATCAACGAGGAGATCAACATCCCGGGTCATCCAACCTAGGCCTAGCCACGTTCTAGAGGTAAGGGAACTCGATCCCTTTGAGTTAGATCGATCGATTTGGGGATTTTTCGTGAGGATGCAATTCTGAGGTTTTAGCAACAGGCGTTCAAGCTTTTAGTGACAGAATTTAGGTGGTCACTAAAGCTGCTGGGAATTTTCAGAAACTTGTTTTAGATGTTTTAAATTGTTTCGAGTCTTTATGGGGATTTGTCCCTGAGTTTTAAAATTTTATAAATTGAGGGAGGTCTAGGAGATGACTGTAATTTAATTTGGGGATTTTCGAAGATGTATTTTTAATTTTAGAAATTGTTTGATCCTTCGTTTTAATTAAATAAAAATATTTCCGAGGAGTTTTAAGGGTTTGATAATTTTCCAGGGTATCGGTACTCATGATTGATATAGGAAAATTATTATCCGAATTTTTATGAAGGTTCAAAGTAGTGTAAAATTCGTCCAAAACTACAATGTTTACGTGGCATAAACATAAGTAATTAGATGGGATTTCCATTACTGGAATGCATCTGAATTACTTATGACGTCTCAAGTTGCCTTGATCAATACCATTGGTAAGTAATTAGATGATATTTCTAAAAATTTGAATTGTTTGTGGTATGCTAATCGAGTGAGATCGTACCATTGGTTAACAATTAGATACATATAGTGGTTGTCAAGTTCAATTAGTAAAACCATGGAAAATAAATGAGATTATTCCATGATGTTTGGAAAATGGTAGAATTGTGGGGGAGGAGAGCTAGCCATTGATCGGCTACTGTCTCAAGACCCTATAATGGGACGCTAACCTATCCATACGACAAAAGTGAAAAAAGGTAAACGAAATCATACTTGAAAGTATGAAGGTGTCCAATGAGAAAGTGAGAGTCCTTAAATCTTGTGGAGTTAACCCAGTCCAAGGGTATAACTTATGAGTAAACTCTAGTATATATTGACGTTATGTCAGAGAGCTAGAATATTTATTGATGTTGATCCACTCTTCCCAAAGAGATGATTTTGACCATATACATGAATGTATATGAACAACATTTCCCAAACCGGAAACGTTGGTTTCAACAACTATGGCGAAATAGTTGAAATGTGGGGGATAAATTGGGGAAAATTGATATGGAATGTCGCTTGGGTGATTCCAAAGTGAAGTGATGTGAATACTTAGGAGTTTTACGTAAACCCTAAGTTAAGTCATAGATGTCACTACATTCGAAGAGATACTTGTGAAGCTCAAGTACTCTAAGGTTAATGAAGTAGAGTGACTTCAACACCGTTGGCATGTGTTATGTTTATTGCAAGGCAATAAAATCGATGTGAATACTTAGGAGTTTTACGTAAACCCTAAGTTAAGTCATAGATGTCGAAGAGATACTTGTGAAGCTCAAGTACTCTAAGGTTAATGAAGTAGAGTGACTTCAACACCGTTGGCATGTGTTATGTTTATTGCAAGGCAATAAAATCAAGGCAAACACACATGATGTATAGTGAATCTAAAGAGACGAGTCTTTGGAGTATTATACCCAAAGGAACTTACCGGATGAACCACAAGGTATAATCCATTGATGGATGTGGATTTATGGTTGATGGGGAGCAGTACCTTGGAAAACATCCAAGTTGAACTGAATATATACCCACTCTAAGACCGGTTAATTTTTATATTCTGTCCCCCAAAGGCTGGCGTTAATAAAATGCAATTGTGCACAAAATGGTGATTGCAAGGGCTAGAAGTGTTATGTGAAAAATCTCGTCGTAGAAACATAACATTATTGACTGGTTAATTTCTAGTGAAGTTATCGGAGATGATCAGTTTAGGTCAAGTGATAACAAACATGGGACCCACCTAGAAATTAATTAAATCATCGAAGGGAATGGACTCGTGGCCTAGGACAACTCATCATGGCGGTAACTCTACCTAAGCAGGATTGGCAGACCCAACCTCTAGGTTCAAGGAGCAAACAAAGTTGTGAATGATGGTCCGACATTGTCAAATTATTCAAATTCCATTCTCATGATTAGACAATGTCCAACTATAAGGGTAAACCTAAAGATGGAAGGTTTTTTATGGTTTCTAAGTTTGCCACGGGATGTGATCATATAGTGTATTTTTGGAATACATGTTTAGAAATCACCTATGTGAATGTGAAGTGGAGTCGCTTCAAGGAGAATAAAAGAAGGCCAGTTCTCTAAGCACTCATGAGACCAGGCGGTGTTCATGGCTAAAACGAACACAACAATGAGAACCAATGAACGGATAAGAGTTAGTTGTCTGACATATGTTGTCTTAGTATACAAGCAAAACCGACTGTTCAAAGATATCACATCTACCGATTGGTGAGTATACTCGATATATGTTCACTAAGGAAGGTTCAAAGGGAAACCTACCTATTCCGATGCAACTAATTCGTAGTCGAGAATCACACGATATTTTGCATAGATTTTGAAGTACAACATTCTCCATTCATGTGGGGGATTGTTGGGATTTTTAGTGGTGTGAATGGAAATAAAAAGGGAAAGTTTCAAGAGAGTCTCTTGAAGTACCATGTTGGTAAGATGTGGGAAGGCACGGCCTTGAATTCGATCGATTTGATATAATATGTGGTTAATCGGTTAAATTGGTTTGTGTACCAAACGGGCCAAACTAAACTGAGTTGAACCAAATTGAACCGAACCGATATGGCGGTTGGAATAACCAAACCGGTCTAACTACTATAGGCCGAACCGATGCAATGGTTCATTATTTTAAAACGAACCAATGTATTGGTTGGGGTGTAACCACTCATATGAAGAGTCGCCTCCCTTCGTAAGCATCCCTTCATTTTCTATAAATAGCACCTAACCCCCTCTAGTTTTTACATGGATATTTCCGGTACCAAAACTCTGCTAAAATCCAAAACTAGTTTTATACATTCTTTTCAAAGAGAAAATCGAGTCAAGTGTGATTCTCGCCGGTTCGCTGCGTTCGATGGGTTCCGGGGTTTGAGGTACCGCTACGCCGGAAAAAGTACGTCCTTTCTATCCTGGGAGGAATCATTCCATAACCTTGGGTACTAGAGGGGAATAAGATTCTTTAAGGAGAGATAGTGAATTCTATCGGCTAGGACGCTTGCATGTGTCTTTTCATGTTTTCTTAATCTTATGTGTTTGCTTGTGTTAATCTTATGTGTTTGCTTGTGTTGCAAGAAAATAGTATATGTGAAATTTTTTCCTCAACACTACTGATTATCCATTAATGTTTCACTAGCTTTTTACCCGGCCCGTTGGCAGGAGAATTTCATTTTGTCATTTATATCAATTAATTTATCTATATGTTTACAACTTTTTTACTGCTATAATTTTTTATACTCACTTATAAAGTGAGTATGTAATATGTTTATATTAAAAATTCTCAATACTTATAAAACTCACCAATGATGTTTCAATTCTCTGATCATAAATCATATTGTGAAGGTTATCACGTCTTATTTAGAATAGTATATAAAAAATTTCTCAATCAAGCCACTCAAATTTATTATACTATAAAACATATAGCAATTTATGATTCTTGAGCTAGGACAAACTCAACCAATTATTAAGAATTCAGATTATTGGATAAAGATACTTAATTACTTGATAAATTGTGCTTATCCCAAATGAAACAAGACACACACTGTAACACTTATGATGATCAGCTTTTCTAATCTTAACTCATTTTCATGTGAATGTTCATTAAGTCTCTGTTGGGGATCTTATGCCAAAATTTGTCTATCGAGATACTCAAATTTAGTATCTTATACAATTTATTAGTCAAATCTTTCAAACTTTTAAAATTATTAGCCAAACCTTTCAAAATACAAAGCACTAGTCAAACGTTAACTCCAAGTTAGCATTTTTGTTAGTAATATTGACTCAACAACATGATGATGAGTTGGCGGAGACACGTGACGCTGAATATTCCAGAATTATAGTATTTTAATTAAGAGAAGAGTTATAATATTATTAAAAATAACAGTCAAATGGTTAATATTTTGATGAAATACAAAATATTTGACTAACTTTTTTATTTGGAAAGGTTTAGGTATCAAATTTTATTTACTCAATATGTACCAATTGCTAATTCTAGAATTTTGGACTAACCATCAACCCATGGTTGTTGTCAACATGTTAGCTTAGAATTAGGCGATCTAAATGCAATAATGCACACACGTGTCATTCAACTATGAAAATTGTCAACCCATGTTTAATCAATTCTAGGTCAGTGGTTGATGAAACATAGTGTTTATCGTACATCGTCAACAAAGATTTCTCTAACATTCACACATGTCATATAATACGTGTACATCGTCAAGTTTCTACCCGGACCTTTTGTTATATAATACTTATTTTATTTAATAGATATATACATTAGAAATAAGAGAGTGTTTAATAGCCAAAAATATAAAAATAACATAACATAGTTCGTTTTTGAAAGTAGATTGATCGTTTGATTGTCTAACAATTGTTTTCTCTCCTTCAATCGTTATATTTTGTTTAATCAATAAAATATTATTATTTATCTTTTTGTATAAAATATAACTTATTATTAAGTTTTAGTAAAAAAAGTAGAAAATTTGCTTGATAAAGTTTAATAAGATATTTTTGTTTAAACAAACGCTATATATATCACTCTACAAATATTAGTCTATTGCTACAAACTTAGATATAATAAAAAAACAAAAATGAATTATTGAATAAAATAAAAAAATCATTTAAAGAAGAGAGAGATAACTCTATAAATAAATCACTAGATTAGGGCCCGGCCTCTTGGCCGGGAGAGTTTGATTTTTATGTGTATGTGTAGTAAACATTGAGGATTAAAGTAACAATTTAATTTGGTAAGTTCTCCATGAATAATATAGGAAAGTATTTAATGTATTTGACTAATGAAGTTTAAAAAATGACAAACAACGCCCAACTACACTAACGTAAATTCATATTTCAAACAAAGTCAG